TTCAGCTCTCTTGCGCCCCTGTGATAGCGCTCTTTCCTTGGCCAAAAAAAAAAAGAAAAGAAAGAAAAGAAAAAAGCCTCATTTCACCAAATTGTACCTTAAGAGCACTGTTTATCTGGAATGAAGGCTTGCTAATGAATACTAGTAGGTTCCTAGAAAATGATCCCTTGATAACATTCCACAGATTAGGCCTGGTTTGTTTGAGTTTTTATGTTTGTTTGCTTGATTTTTATAGAGAGTTTTTTGTTTGTTTTTAAGAGATATTTTTGCTATAGGGTACGTGCACTTGCCTGAGAGATAGAAAGAGAGAAGCCGAGAAATCATCCCCCAGGGGAATGGCTACGCCACTATCCCTTCCCCTCCATTCTCCTCTCAGGATTCTGGACACTAATGCATATGTGCCTGGCATGAATTTCAAGCTGCTGGTTCCAGGACTCAAGCCACAGTCGACTACATGGGAGTCCAGCTGTGTAATCATTATGCCATCTGCTGACCCCTAGTTCTGGTTTGTTCTTTGAAAGGCGTGCCTATAATAGGTTCCTTTCTCTTGTTATCCTCTAAAACAGAAAGTAATATATCTAAAAATGGTGGAATCTTGAGTGGAAGTTGGAATAGCTTGTCAGTGATCTCAAATAGTTTATTCACTATCTACTATGTATACCTGCGTTAGAAAAATTAAATAGCAGGGTAACACGTGTCGTAGATGTGTCTAGTAGGTATAGTACAAGTGCTTTAGTAAAAGGAAGAGCTTACACTGTAGGCTAGAATTTTCTGGAAAGACATGATCATATACATGAGAGTTTTAACCACCCCAGGAAGATCGGTGACATTTGAATAAATTGCAATTATTTGGGATTCTTTCTCCAAGCAAGAAAGGCCTCAAATGAGCAAAAGTGGAATGAATGAAAATCTAGTCTGGTTCTTACAGCACCTTCCCCTCAAGAATAAGTCTAAATTGAGGAGAGTGCTGTGGGCCATAGTGAGGAGTTTGTGCTGGCAGACACACGAATGCACCTAGCCAAAGGTTTCCTACATAAATTTAGGATATTTATGCCAGGACGCCAGCTATGGAAATGGAGAAAAACACGTGGACTATTTAGAGGAGAGGATCCACCAAATTAAATGAGTTTTGTGTGGAAGACAGAGGGAGAAAAACTAAAATGCATTGAAGCAGCTAAGCACGTAGGATTAGAAGAGGCTGGTGCTGTTAATAGTAATAAGGAATTCAAGGTGAAAAGCTCTTTTTCCAGGACAGCGGTGAGGAGTTCAATTACAAAGAGTGAATCTGAGGTGACAGTTGGATGGAAATAGACAGCGGATCTGGGATGCGGGAGTAAAGCTGAGACATCAGGGTTGGAGATAGAAATCAGCAAAACTGTTGAGTCAGAGGTAGGAATGGAGCTGCTGCCTGATACAGGTGAAAGCAAGGCCTAAGTGTGAAATCTGGAGAATGTTCTGCATTTTGGAAGGAGGAACAAAAGCCAACTACGGAGATGGAATTGGGCCAGAGGGGTTATAATAAAACTAAAAATTATCTGTACTTTAAAGTAGAAGAGGTAAAATTTTCAAAAGATTTGTTACTGAACATCAGCCTGTGCAAAGACAACCAGGTGAACACGCTATTCTAGTAAGACTTGTTGGATTAAGTAGGCAGTTGACCTTTTAGTGTCATTTCAATGGAATAATTGGAATAGAAGCCGTGTCCAAGTGGGTTAAGGTGTGAATTACCAATAAATGCTAGAAGTCAGAATATGTGTCACAATTTCAGTTATTTAAGAGTGAATAGAGAAAAAAAATTAGTGAATAAGGAACCAGCATATGGTATAATGGTTACGTCACTGGACTCCCACATGGTCAATCTGGTTGGAGTCCCAGACCCAGCAGTTTAAAAGATGCCAGGCATGAGTGGGTGCATGCCCAAAATCCTGAGAGGAGAATGGAGAAGGGATTACAGTGTGGCCATCCCCCCGGGAGGTGTTTTCTTGCGTTCTGTCTTTCCAATGAGCACATGCGCTCTATAGCAAAAAATCTCTCTTAAATGTGGGGCCTGGTAGGTGGCGTGTGGTGGTAAGGATGTTGGACTCACACATGACTGACCCCGGTTTGATTAGCAGACCTGGCAGCTTGCTTTCTCACTTTCTCTCTCTCTCTCTCTCTTCCTCTCTGGTCACATTTTTTAAAAATAAATAAAAATAAATAAGAACTTTTAAAAACTGTTTATTTCAAAATAAAAAAAAAAAGAATAATGAGTGGAAGGAAGAAAAACTAAAGTAACCACTTGAGTGAAGTCTGAAGTTTGACTTTGAGATCAAGTAAAGGGTGTTTGCTTTGATGTGCACTTTAATGGACTGACACCCCAATTATTTCAGGAAGACTAACAAATGGCTACAAGCTAGTGGTTTAGATGTTTATTAGACTTGATCATTCAACAAAGCATTCCAGGATTATTCTTTCATGTTACAGTTTCCAAATGGTTAGAGTAGGAACTGTAGCTTCTTATAGCTAGACTACAGGAGAAGGAATGCCAGACAAATCATTGGGTTTTCAGTTTTCTCAGTGTTGTTTTGTTTGTTGGCATTTATGCCATTTAGTGATCCTCTTTGAATCTAAGATTTGTCAGTTTGAAAAACTTACAGGATCTTGGTCACTTATTACTCCTCATATGAATCAGTTTAGAGTTCACTTTGAGTATTATTCATGTTAATGAATATCCTTATTCTTCAG